GTGACGGATCTATAAAGACGCAAGAATGTAAGTTGCATCTCTCTTTGCCGGAAAAAAACCATGGTGATGGAAGAGTTTATTTATTTATTTTTTTTAAAAGCCAAAACAACGTCATTTGGATCGGGTCTTTAAAAAATAATAAAATCATAAGAAGCCTAGTGTCACAGGTCGCACATAAGTGAGTGCTATCGTGATTCTGAAGTTGATAGTGCAGTGGGGCACGTAGACGAGGACGTCGACACTATCAGTGGGGGAGAATGTCACGGGTCGCACATAGACAAGTGCTACCGTGACTCCGTTGGGACATCTATGCACTTAAGATGTAGTCTAAGTGTGGAATGGCGAGAGCTTAAGAGCTAGAATGGTTGGTGTTGGCCGGGTTGCACTTGTGAGGGGTATTTTGGGTATTTCCGAAGGTTACAGGAGGAATTGAGGGAACCAAGAATACCGAAATGTTTGTGATGTCGAGACGCAGGAAACGCAACTGACGGTTCGCCATTCGGAGTTCGTATGAGGGAGTTATACCCGATTATGACTCCTCGTGCATAGATGATGTTCTCTCCTGGCAAAAGGCTAAATACATAAAATGCTATAAAGGGGGTGACATGGTGTCATGCTCTCCACCACCCTTGGTGCTTACACCCTTGTAGCACTAAGCGAGCATCCTTATGACATTGGAGGTAGTCATAAGGGCGGGCATAAGATTGTTGAAAGATAATCTGTGTCTCTGAGGGAAAGGAATTCCCTAGGACAGTACGAACACGCAGGGCCATTCGTATAGTGCATCGTTGTAACGAGTGAGATCAACGTATAGCATTCGCTATGCCATCGGCTAGCAAGGCATTTGATAATACTCGATGGACTTGGCTTGGGTTCGGCCTTGTCCAAGATAGAAAGAAGATATTCGGATGCCGGTACGCATGGGTTGCGACCCCATGCAATGCATAGATGGTTATGTGGGACATTCGGAATACATATGTCGCCAAGGCTTGGGCGATATGCAAGTATGACAGCTTATGTGTATAGCTTGATGATGTGGGCTATCGTGGACGCTAAAGGAATGACTGACAGAAGTGTGGGTAAACCGATGGTGTGTTGGATCGCTATGTCTTGACTTGGACATGAGCGAAACATGAGTTAAGCATGCGACGTGGTCGATGCAGTTGACGTGTCTTATGCAACGCTTGATGTATGGGCGTCGAGGGTTCGTTGCCGGATGCAGAGTGATTGTATTGTCACAAGCTAGTGTGACTCGTTGTCTAGTGGGAGACGACACTTGAAGGGGAACCTTTCGCGAAGTTGTGAGAGTCATGAATATCATGAAGTGGGAGAAGGCTGACTGGGATCCGAAGGGATCCTGGGCCGCATGGGTGTGCTTTGAGTGGCGAGATTTGTGTTTCGCTTCCGCCGCGCCACGCCGCTCGCTCATCCCGTGACACTAGTCTTTACTCCACAAAACCTGCAATCAAATTAATCCATATACGAATACAATAGCATTCAAAGTTCAGCGAATGAGAGGATTTAATCCTTGAGTTGAATTGCTTTTCTTGAAACTGGAAGATTTCAAGAAAAAAATTAAATCTCTTATATTTTTTTAAATAAATTAAATTAAATTTCTTTTCTTATAGTGTTGTTTTCTTCTAGGTTTTTTTTTAATCTTCAGTTTTTCTATTCTTTTCTTTTTTTATAATTATTTTTTTGCTGGTTTGGCTCTTTATATATTAGTTTAATCAGTAACAAACTCTAACCCTCCATTTGGATGAGGGAAAATAACTCGGAATTTAGCTAAAAGTCGGGAATTTAAGAGAAGAAATTGACAATTCTCATGTTTGGCAACTTAAGTGCGGAATTTATTAAATTACGTGCGGAAAAAATCATGGAAATTGAGGCATCAAATTCTCGAGTTTAATTTCCACCAAAATAGACATAATTTCACAATTTCCATAGTGCGGTAATTCATATTTTCTAGTGTGCCAAAACTTACGACAACAACAACAACAACAACAAAAAAGCGCCAAACTAAAAACAGCGCCAAAAACCTATCAAAACCCTGGAAACAAATTGTCTTGTTGCTTTATAAACAAAAGTTGCGAGCCAGAGAAGAAGGAGCATCATAAAAAAGCTGCGAACCAGAGAAGCAAGGAGAAAGAGTTCTTCTTGGGTTACACATCTCTCTGGATCAAGTTTGAAGGTTAGTCTTCAAGCCTTTCTCTCCTTCTCTCCTTCAATTTATATTTTTCTAGTTTAGGGTTACCATGGTTTCTAAATGGCTATCAAAATTGGGTATTTCTTACTAAATTTATGAATGTGTTGAATGGGTTTTGTGATCTTTGTGGCACTATGGCTGGGTTTTGGGAAATCTTAACAAAATACTCTATGCCCAGGGATATTGGTGTGTGATTTGTGTTTATAGTACAGCTCTGTAGTTGTTTGTTAATTTTATCACTTTGTGTTATTGCCTTGCTCTATAGTTGTTTGTTAGATTTATTAATCAATGGAGCATAAGCAGGAGTCGTGCACTCAATATCTTGCCATTTAGCATTGGGTGTTTACACATTGTTTCGGCCAAAAGAAAAAGTAGTTGAACTGTGAATCCTATGAACCAAGTAATACATAATTCTGGCAGATTGTTAAGCCACGATAGTCTAGCTCCACTAATGCAAATAATTGTTCACTGATATGGGAATCTATGCAAGAAAATTCTTGCTTGACATGTATGTAAATAACTTTTATTTATTAAACCGAATTACTAAACAGTTTTAACTATATGAGTGTGTCTGTGGGGTGTACATTTAAACTTCAATGTATTGACTTTTATTCCCAGTGAGCATCAGAGATGCATCAGTTTTTTTTTGGTCGTTGATGCAAACATCTGTTTTCCATTGTTTTCACTTCACCGATATCCTACATCAGTCGTAGATGCATCGTATTAGTACACAACTAGCAAAACAAAAATATAACCAGTATATACCTCATAGGATAACTTCAACTATAGGCGTAAGTCCTTGATTTCTACCCCCAGAGCTAGTATATACTTCTGTCCTTGATTACTAAGTTTATCGATTTTTGTCTTCTCTACTTTCTATATCGTTTCCTTGCTCTGTAGTTATTTAGTTCATCAACGATATGTTATTTTATACTTCGAGGAATACCTTCTATGTCAGTTATTAGTTTTTTTGTTATTTCGAAATATTTAATTTCTGTCATTTATAATTTACATGAGTTATCCAAACATTGAAATTTTCAATTTCTGTCATTTACAAAATTCCACATATATAAATCCAAACACCGAAATCTTCAATTGCCAGAAATTGAAATGACGGAAATATAAATTCAGTCATTTTAAAATTCCATGTAATTTGTAATTCCTTCATCCAAACGGAGCATAAGAGGTTGATATGCATTTTGATTTGTTTATTGATTTGATACTTTGATATGCATTTGGATTAGATTAAGTGACATTGATTTTCATAAAATTAATTGATGATTCAATATGAATTTTGGTAGACTAATTATGTTATTGATATACTGTATAGACTATAGTCAATTAGTAATAGAGCTAAGATCCTTATTTGTTTTAATTATACAATTATGGAACAGTACTTTAAGAAAAAGTATCTAAATCTTTATTTGAATAATTATGGTAGTTCTAATCCTCCTTCGAATAATCCGGGTAACCTTTTAAAAGTGCCTCTTTCTTTAAAAAAATCATGGATCCGTTAATGCTTATGGAGAAGCAAATGAGAACTTCTCCTCATAATCACTTAAAATCAATCAAAGTGATTATATAGAGAAACACGTTTCTCCTCATAAGTGATTATGGCTCATTTAGAATCACTCTCAAACAAACCTTAAATTAAATCTTCCTCTCTTCCGTAGATTAGATTTGAAGTATAGTTTGTGTGGGAAATTAAAAAAAAACAAACAAACAAAAAAACAAAAACGTGTAGAGCGCGTGAGTGAAAGTGAGTTCAGGAAAACACATACTTCAACTTTTGTGTCTCTCGTGAATGGTGATGATGCAGGAAGAGATGCAGTCAGAGCCCGTGAGTGACTCGAAAGTCTTGTTTTGACATGAAAATTAGGTTAGGTTTGCCCACACCACACCACATCACATGGGTAGTAGTAATATGCCCATTCTATTCCTCTTTGAAAAATAAAAATAGAGAGACAACTCTAACTCAGACAAGTACCTAGTGCGATGTATAGGTATCGTTAGTACCAAACCAATGCGTAGGCACATTCCATTCTATTCTACTGTCATGTAGGTATCGTTAGTACCAAACCAATGCGATTGGATTGGTACCAAAGAAACAATTGGAACACTTTTGTCAACGGGTGGATGGCATTGTATTGGTGGGTTTGTTGGAAAGCAGTTTGGTGGGTGATTCTGATTCTTGCTTCAAATGGAGAAGACAGCCGCAGAGATGAGCCCTTTGCAATTTGCTTTTACAACTGGTGCCCACTTAAACCAACTTATATATGGCTATGTCACGTGTTGCAGTAATTCGGATCACATTTTGCTTATCAAATCCTATCAGACAATTTTTTTCTTTTATTTTTAAAAAATTATTAATGAACGAACTTAGAACATCTATCTTCCATTTCAATAACATAGAAATATTGAGAAGACTTGAAAGAAGGCAATCAAAGAAGGCAATTTCACAAGTTTATTGGGTTTAACACTAAGAAAATAACACTCGTATTTGGAGACAGGTTTGAAGTGATTTCCTTATGACATTGAGAATTGGCTTTTCACAATGACTTGAAGTTGAAGCTTTCTTGACCCAAAAAAAAAAAGGAAGTTGAAGCTTTAAAGCTACCCTTACGGGATTTGCTTGCTCCGGTTTCTTCCTAGTCTCGTCACCCTTATGAAACTAACACATTTCTTTCCATTTGGTCTAAAACTCTAGAAGACTAGATCTATATATTTGGAAAAAGACAATTAAAAGGATGAAAAGGTTTGAGAAAAAATGCTGCTATGGATGTGGAATTATGAATTACTTCTTGGGTGTAAAAATCACGTCGAAGTCACTGAGAGTCCACTCTGCCACTTCATCTTTGTCACTAACAAAAATTTCTGTACCCACATCCACTGATCCCCATATCCTTCTTGCAGGAGTGGTGCCTGGATCCTACAACAACAACAAACAGAAAATGAAAATCAATCACATAAAGTTATTGGTTGAATTGCATAAGCAGTTTAATTTGCAGTTTTTCTGTAACTAATTAGTTACCTGATAGAAGTAGAGTCTACTGGATAGGGCACCAACATCAAGCTCCCAAGTTCTTGCATCTCCAACCCAACCCTGCCCTTGTTTGGTTGGATAGCCATACTCAGCCCATATGGGGTGAGGCAGCAATTGCATTATCTCTTGTGCCTGAGGATTGCTGTAAGGGTCACATGTGCTTACAGGTTGCTCTAAATGTTTGGCATTCCCTGGGGCACAGTAGTAGTGATAAGCTGAGTATGGGAAGTTGGCTGTGTCATTTCTATAAATCTTTCTGTCATCTGGTGTAATATGGTATGGTGGGCAATTCCCCAAACCTGTGGGGCTGCACCAAGCTGGAGTTTCCGGGTTTATGATCATCTCCGTGTATCTGGTTACGTCAGTCAGCACGTCCCCGTTACAGGGTTGGCCATCGTTCTTCCAACAGCTACCAATATCAATAAGGTAAAACTGGCTCTTGGGTCCTCCCCCTTTTTTGATGTCCAAAGTCAACCTCACCTTAAAATTTGGTGACTCTGGAAGCTGAAATTTAACTTAAATTGTAAGTTATGTGATAAATGACTATATCATCCTTCTATACTCAAACAATTTAGAAGCAAATATTTTAGAAAACAAAAGCAACAAACTCTGGCAGATGTCAACTCTGGTATTCTGAGGTCCAACTTCAAACACAGATGATTACAATATGACACAATTAATTCTGTTGATTCGGTGGCCTTGTGGCCTTCACTAGATGATCATCTTCCAGGGTCGGTCTAAATGTCCCTGTACCAATTAAATAAGGTCGTAGAATGCAAAGTTTTCTAAGACCTTTGACATGGAGGGTTTGGTATGAATGTTACCTAACAATATTGAATAATAAATGTATTCATACAAAAAAGGACAGTGACAGATTAACACATTAATTATTCATGAAATCCCCCACTGAATAAATTAATACCTCTGGAAATGCAGTTAGTTTAACAAATTAAGCAAATCAGCCGTCCAGTTATGGCCTTCTTTTGTTACTTTGTTAACGTATTAATCACATGAAAGATGGAAAGCATACACCATCTTACATTTAAATTTTGTCATGAAGACAAACAATAAGACTAATTTTTCTGTATTCTTCTTAGAAGTTACATATGTTGGCATACATCATACAGCAGCAACTAAAACAAGAGAAAAATTCCATCATTCTAGCTTCAGCTTCTCAATATAATAATGATTGCTTGCTACTTGACAAAAGGAAGGAAATTAGATTCCAGTTCAAATGAAACGTTTCTACTTAGAAATTAAATTCAAATGAATGGTTTCTACTTACTGTTTTTAGCATTCCTCTTGTATCATAGTGATAGCCTCCAGAATATCCTTGGGTTGCATCAGCTCTGAGGTACAGCATCAGCCATGGATATTTCTTTGAAGTCTTGAGCTTATGACTGAAAACCCAACTTCCAACACCAAGTTTCTTCTGCCAAACCACCTCATAGAAAGATATCCCATCAGCTCCACCATTTCCATTACTGAGATCAGATCCCAGATCATAGGACCCACTGAAACTTCCTCTCATTTTATCACCATCCAACAACACTGTCTCTTGGTGATTCACAATGGGTTGATTCATACACCCACTCCCAAAGCAAGGAAACTTTCCCGGACTGAAAGGAGCTGCCTTTTTCCCATTTGCAGGGCACAAACCAGACTCTGTGTCAAAGTTACCATTTTTCAGCATAACCATCCAAAATTGCCATGGTTTTGGAGAGTCTGAAACTTGACATAAAGAACCCAGATACAGCTCCTTCTCTGCTGCATAAAGGTCTACATTGTTCAAAGCCCCCTGGCTAATCCCTGGGAATGGTTTGCCCACCCCAAGTTTGTTATCATCTTTGCTCACTAAATGTCTTAGAGAAGAACCTGCCCCATCAAATTCAAAACAAATTATGAATCATATCAGCACATAACTACTTCAATCTAATGACAAACACAACTATGAAGTGCATTGAGATGAATTTGGAACATCTATCAAATACATTGTATACTATCAAACTGAATGCCCATGTACATGATTTTTTTTAAATTAAAAAATTAAAAGGAAGAAAAAAAATAAAGATTCTTCCACCCAAAAACAAATTAATGATAATAAAATCATTTGATATGAGAACTAAAAAGAAAAAAAAACCACTCTTCCTCCTCAATCCCCGAGTTGTTCGATGGTGGGGCTTACTTGTGAGATTAAAGCAATCAGCAGCTCTTGGGCTGCCCATGCCAGGTGCTTCTGCTCCAACTTCATTGCAGAAGTTCCAAGCTTCCAAGGCCACTCTCAGTTCATCTCTTCTCATTCCTGGGTCTCCCACAGCAGAGATATAATCCTTCCCAGAGGCACCTTGAAGACTGATTAGAAGAAGCACATGTGCTACGAACAATGACACGTGCACCATCTGATTCTTCTTCATGCTTCTCTCTCTATCTCTTCTCTGCTTTCAGAGACAGACAGAGCATGCGAGTGGGCCTTATTTATATGCAACAAATACAGTGTTTGGAAAGGGGTCTCTCTCTCTCTCTCTCTCTCTCACGCAGCTTGCTGGTGAAGTGGGGATGTTAGCCAGCTCCTCTACTTTTCTGTAATATTTTATTTTAATTGATTAAAAATCAATGTCATGTAGGTAAATAAATTATATTATAATTAGTCTGTTCTGTTGAAACTTGAAACAGTAAGACCGTGCCGTGTCCTTGCTTTCCTTCACCCAAAGCTATGTATCTATGGTCCGTCTCTGTGGCCCCTGTTTTTTTTCTCATGGAAACCGAGTTTTTTCTCGTATTATTAATAAGTAAGCACAGCTCCCCTTGCTTGCTAGCGCTTGAAATTTTGAAAATCTCATCTCCTCCCAACTTTTTCAAGAGCAAAAAGTCCTTTCTGTGGTTTCCTTTTTTTCTTTATATTCGAAAGTATTAGTTTTGTTGATTGTGTGACTCCAACTAGAAGCAACTATCGATTTGATGGATTCTCTTCTCTCTCTGCCCACTTTTTCTCTAGGTGGTTACATGTGGGGTCTTCTGGTCAAAAAGAAACACAAGAGCCAAACTGGATTTGGTCTGGAAATAAGCAAAATTGGAACAATATGTCATTGCTTTCTCGTAAATAAGGTTTACACAAATAAAATCAGGGAAGCACTTGTTTCTTTCAGGCCGAATTGCTGTCACTTTTTAAAAAAGTTATTTCTATTACGCTTTGAACGCTTTGGAAAAAATGAGCGGTAAAGTAAAACAGTCTTTTATGTATTTCCATTTGCCTTTTTCGTATTTTATCGTTAAATGGTAACAATTTTCAATTCATGAACAGTAGTTGTCCCTTTTTATAACTTTTTTAATGAAGGTAGGTTGGGGGGATGGAGTACAAGCTCCACAACTTATAATCATTAAAATCAAACCAAGGTCAAATCAAATGTATCATCCTCGTGATGCAGCTCGTCGCCAATTTCGATTAAAATTCATACTAGGATAAAAGAATGTCTTCTTATGTCAATGATATTTATATTTTTTTTTGGGTTAAATAATAAGTTAAACATATAGTTTGAAGTAAAAAAAAACGTAGAGAAAGAAAAAATGGAGGGAAAAGTCGGGGGTTTGTTAGCAAGACCTCTAGAAGCTCTTAAATCTGAAGAGAGAGAAATGACTCCTAGTAGCTGTCTATAATTAAATGGTGCTTTATTTTAATGCTATTTTTAGTATTTATTTCATGCAAACTTATATATATATATATATATATGAAGAGGGACCATTTATGCTAAACTAAAAAAAGAAATAAATCATTTATGATTCCCTTAACTAGGTAGCGTAGTTGGAGTTGAAATTTTTTAAGGAACTTCTAAAATAGCTTTCTAGTGTTTTTAGCTAAATTTTAACTAAAAAATAAGGAGCATGATTGTGAATGCTGTAATCACATATCACATGCGGCGATATTTCAATATTTCGTTTTGTTGACACATTTTAAATCTCATTTATTTATAACCAATACACAACTGCAATGTGATTTGTGCATAATGTAAAAATAACAATAATAAATAAATAAATAAATAAGTTGAGAAAACAATTTGGTGTCTATGGATAGTACTAACATTAACATTATTTATGCATATATAATGTAAAAATATTCCGTTGACTTGTAGATTAGTGGTATTAAGTTCGAAACTCCCTTACACTTCGCGTGTATGAGAAACTTCCCTCATCCTTCCTAACTACGGCAGGAAAAATGTAAAAGTAGTCCACATGGTGATGATAGATATTATATGGCACTTGCTACTAACTTTACAAAGTTCAACGTGGACGCCGACATGAGTTTGTTTGTTTGTTTGCCTGCTCCTTTAGTCTCCCTCTCTATCTAGTTCTACCGTATCACACAAGCCTAATGCAATGCTAATGATTAATTTATGTCCATCTGTCTGGATAAGTATCTTATTTCTAGATTACACATGCACTGCTATACTAGTACTGTACTTATGCAGTGATTATGAGAAGATGCCTACAATTCAATGCAAACACCCAACCCAACCCACACAAGGTAGGGTAGGCACCAGTGGCAGCATTCTCCAGAAGGCATTACAAAAACTAATTAATATGTCTTGTAATTGAGGGTCATGAATTATTTGAGAAATTAGGAACAGGTAATGTTTTAGGTTAGGTGGTGGATACACATTTCATCAAATCATTTATATATATGTATACACTTAGACATAGTATAGTATAGCAGATAACCCTGACTGATATACATAAATTATAATGCCTACCTTGCAATTGCTTGCTTGCTACCTTAAAGTCATTTCCCACTCTTTACTCATATCGTACTATTCTCAGTGATTCAGAAGCTTCTTTCAGCAGTATCTAGCTAGAGCAGGCTGCTATTCCACAATAATGTCACCCAATTTGTTTTCCGCTGACTCTAGTCTCTGGAGAATAAGAATCAAACTCAACTCATCAGGACCATGTTAGATTAGATTACACTAACCTCAAAAGTTTTAAGCTGTCAAAAAATAGTCAACCAATCATGTATATCATGATTACATGTTCTCTCTCTCTCTCTCTCTCTCTCTCTCTCTCTCTCTCTGAAACTACAGTTTAAAAGTTGTCCATTTATCTCTTCTTGGCATGATCCAGGTGATCCATATATATATAAACATTAAACTTTCATATTACTTGAAACCATGGGCCAGGCGGATACGCATGGATTTAATTATTGTAATGGATGGTAGTTGTCTAGTTGAGGATCCATTCCATCATCCATAATTGCCTTCCTGATCCCTTTGCAAGTTGTTGTCAAACAAATAGGCCCGGGCTCTGCTCTCACTGTCACTTCATTTCATCCTCCAAACGACTTTCACCCATCCAGTGCCATTGATAAGGACCATATATTTCAATTTCAAAGTTGAAAAACATATATAAAGTTTAGCCCAACAGACCGGGCCATATAAAATTGGAGCCCAAGGGAATCAAAATCCAAAACTCTCCCATGCTCACTTAGATGCGGAAATGCTATAATGAGGAGTTTAGAGTGAGGAACTTATTTGAGGGGTTCATTGTCAAAGCTCCCCTAGTTAGCTGAAGTCAGCCGAGATTGAAGTATAACCTGCCTGCCAAGTCTGAAAATTTATTAAGTAATTTATGAAATCAGTAACATATTTAAATATTCACTAAAGAAATAATAATTAAAACATAATTACTAATTAAAGTAATTCATAAAAGCTAAGATACTACTTAATTACATATATTAAATTAAAGAAGTTGACCAAAAAAACAAAAATAAAGAAACTAATTTTATATTTTAAAAAAAACCTCTCCTGACGAAATTTTGTCGGCATAGGTCTATGCCGACAAATATTTGCCAAATTAAACTTCTACCGACAAAAGCTATCTATGCCGACGCAATATCATCGAGGAAGGTCTAATTTGGCAAATATTCATTGGGATAGAAATTTGCCAACGAAATTGCGTTGGGAGAGGTTTTAAAAAAAATATATATAAACTTAGTATGTTTAGGTTAATAATTTTTTTAATTTTATTTTTAGTAATTCAATAATATCTTAGTAGCGTAAAACCGAGCAGCTATAATGTTAAGTTATTCTATTTTGGAGTATCGCCGAGCGGCTATACTTTTAAGATATTCTATTTATGGAGTATCGCCGCGCGGCTATACTCTTAAGTTATTATATTTTGGAGTATAGCGGTGCGGTGTTACTGTTAAGATATTCTATTTTGGCGTATAGCCGCATGACTATATGTTAAGTTATTCTATTTCGGAGTATCGCTGCTCGGCCATACCCTTAAGTTATTCAATTTCGGAGTATCGCCGTCCGGCTATACTCTTCAGTTATTCTATTTTGGAGTATAGCCGGTCGGCTATACCATTAAGTTATTCTATTTTGGAGTATATCCATCCGGCTATACTGTTAAGTTATTCAATTCACCTCACACTCCTGAATGTGTATCGCTTACAATCAAAACAATGAGGATCCATCCTGGTGCTACCGCAACTTTGTCAATCACAGGGCATTGAAGGTTGCAGACAACATTCGGCAGTAGTCAGCCAGCATTACGGCCCGTTTTGATCTCGAGTTATGCAGTACTGATTTTAACGATCATGACTACTCCGTCAACATAAGAAGGGTCATGCTAACTGGATATCCCTTGCTGGTGGCTCAACTAAAATGCACAGCTGGTAGTGTTTCCAAAGGATACTACCTAACACCAGCGAACGATAAGGTGTTGCATCCAAAATAGAATAACTTAAAAGTATAGCCGGCAATATACCAAAATAGAATATTTTACCAGTATAGATTAAGACACTTCCCTGATATTTTAAAAGGGATCTATCCGAGAGCAGTGATCAACAAAAGGGAACCTCTATCCTAAACCCCTATATTTTAACAGTATAGCCGTGCGGCTATACTATAATATATTCAAGACGAGACGAACACGAAACTTGCACTCGCAGTCAAGCCATTTATTCTCTATCAACTCAAGCTTCGATTTGTTTTCTTTGGTTTCGGTTGCTTCGTCCTCCGGGTTTCGCAACGAAAACAGACCCGACCAGCCTAGGCGCCCCGCCTAGCTGCCTAGCCACCACCTAGGCCGATTTTTCAAACACTCTGATTGACTGAAAGTCTGAAACCCGAAATTGAAACAATTTAGCTGCAAATTTGAGCTTGAGATTGGGAAGCCGAAGCAGTGAAGCACAAGTCAGGTCCATAGAAGAACAGATCATGGAGATTAGGAATCCCAAATACAAAATTTGCTGACTTGGTGTCTGTCTTCAGTAGAAGGAAATGATGAAGTTGTCCTATCATGGAGTTTCTGTGGTCTTCCCAATAACAAGGTTCGGTTTTTAAGCACTTGTAGGATGAAAGTGAAGTTTTTGTTCAGGATCAAAAGAAGTACAAAGCTACAGAAACTGGTTGATGCT